GTGCAGGGCTGACTAGCAGTCATTGCTGCTTACTCCGCCCTGGAGATTCCCTGAGACCCTGCCCTACCCAATTTATAACCCCACCCAAGCTATGTGCAGTGGCTTTTGCATATGAATGGCCTGTTCTTTCTCAGCCTAAAACCTGTCAAACAAGCTGCAGTTGGGTCAGGGAGCCCCAAAGCTATCAAAAGAAGGCCCAAGGCCACACCAGCACCAGCCTGCCTTGCTTCACTGCTGGGCCTTGTCTGGGCACTCCCAAACCCAATACAAAGATGAGGAATCTGCAGCTCTCTCTGTAGCTCCTGCTGGGTGGCCCCAGGAAGTGACTGACTTTGCACCTCCTTGGAGATCCAAGAGCCAGTGTACCCAGTGGTCAGTGCGAGATTATACCAGATTACAACTCTTCACATCCATAAGTGACACACTCAAGGGGCAGACTCAGTGAGCACTAAAGCCCCATTGAAGCAAGTCCTGCCCCATAAGGGTGTCTCCTGCACAGCAGTTCTTCCATTGTAGACACAGTTGGTCCTCACAGCCAATTGGCCTGGAGATCAATTCCTTCCAGTGATACCAAGAGCAATCAAGGCTCAACTACAAGACTGTGCACACAGCCCACAAAGGGGTGCACCAAGAATGTCCACCTCAGATGACTGGGGAGGCTGAGCCACTGGGCCCTATAGGACACCTACTACACAAGGCCACTCTATCAACTCAAGGAGACTTAGCAGCTACCCAATAAATAGAAACAAACACAGGGAAGCAGCCAAAATGCAGAGACAAAGAAACATGTCACAAATAAAAGAAATGGAAGAAAACAAACTACTGGATATAGAGTTCAAAACCACACTTTTAAGGTTACTCAAAAATCTACTAGAAACCTCCGAGGAGCTTAGTGAGACCTTCAAGGATCTTAGGTAGAATGCAAAAAAAAAAAAAAAAAAATGGAAAATGACCAATCAGAAATTAAGCATATACTGACTGAAATAAAGAATAATATACAGAGATTCAACAGTAGACTAGAGGATCCCAAGAATCAAGTCAAAGATTTGAAATATGAGGAAGCAAAAAACACCCAACCAGAAGAGCAAAAAGAAAAAAGAATCCAAAATTATGAAGATAATGTAAGGAGCCTCTGGGACAACTTCAAGTGTATCAACATCTGAATTATGGGGGTGCCAGAAGAAGAGAGAGAGCAAGATATTGAAAACCTATTTGAAGAAATAATGACAGAAAATTTCTCCTACCTGGTGAAAGAAATAGACTTATAAGTCCAGGAAGAGCAGAGAGCCCCAAACAAGAGTAATCCAAAGAGGAACACACCAAGACACATCATAATTAAAATGCCAAGGGCAAAAAACAAAGAGAATCTTAAAAGCAGCAAGAGAAAACAGTTATTTACCTACAAGGGTTGTACCCATATGACTGTCAGCTGACTTCTCAATAGAAACTATGCAGGCCAGAAGGGAGTGGCAAGAAACATTCAAAGTGATGAATAGCAAGAACCTACAACCAAGATTACTCTAGTCAGCAAAGCTAACATTTAGAATTAAAGGTCAGATAAAGAGCTTTGCAGACAAGAAGAAGCTAAAGGAGTTCATCACCACCAAACCAGTATTATATGAAATGCTGAAGGATATTTTTTAAGAAGAGGAAGAAAAAGAAAAAGGTAAAGATAAAAAAATATGAACAACAAAGTGACAACAAATACATATCTATCAACATGTGAATCTAAAAATCAAATGAATAAAAATTCTGATGAACAGAATAAACTGGTGAATGTAATAGAATCAAGGGCATGGAAATGGAGTAGACTGACAATTCTTGGGGGAAGGGAGTGTGGGGAGGGTGCAGCAAGAGATTGGACAAAGATCTTATATGCATGTATGCAGTGTGTATGGACACGGACAGTCGGGTGGCTAGGGCCTGGGGTGGGGTGGGAACTGGGTGAAGGGGAGCTATGGGGGGAAAAAAGAGTGACATCTATAATAATCTGAACAATAAAGATTAAAAAAAAGTGTGAGTCTTTTTCATGATGATATCTTTAACTGCCTTTTAAATCTCTTCTAAGATATATGCAGGTCCTCTATTGTTCCTAGAGTTGATATCGGTCACTTTAATTTCACAAAAAAAATTCCATTTCATCAAGAATTGTCTATAAAGATAATGTGCATTATAAATCTCTAAAAGTACTAAATAAAGGCTTTTAAAATGTTTTTGTTGTTTAAGTCATTCTTCTGTAGTACTATTTTTCTAAGTTGTACACTTTGAGTGTTACTCAAAGAATTAGCTTTGAGTATGTGTGTTAATGCTTTTTCTGTTTTTCTAAAAAAAAAAAAAATCTTTAAAAAAAATTTTTATTGCCCTAGCTGGTTTGGCTCTGTGGATAGAGCATCGGCCTGCAGACTGAAGGGTCCCAGGTTCAATTCCAGTCACAGGCACATACCTGGGTTGTGAGTTCGATGCCTAGTAGGGGGAATGCAGGAGGCAGCCAGTCAATGATTCTTTCTCATCATTGATGTTTCTAACTCTCTCTCTCCCTCTCCCTTCCTCTCTGAAATCAATAAAAATATATTTGAAAAATAAAAAATATATATATATATATATATAAATATATATATTCTATGTTTTCCCTTAATGGAAAAGAATTCTCTCTTTTTTTTAAAAAATATATTTTATTGATTTTCTACAGAGAGGAAGGGAGAGAGATAGAGAGTTAGAAAACATCGATGAGAGAGGAACATCGATCAGCTGCCTCCTGCACATCTCCTACTGGGGATGTGCCCGCAACCCAGGGACATGCCCTTGACCGGAATCGAACCTGGGACCTTTTCAGTCCGCAAGCCGACGCTCTATCCACTGAGCCAAATTCCCTTAATGGAAAAGAATTTTCAATCAGAAATCACACTAAGAATTTGTTTCAGAAAACCTAAATGTCTGTACTTTTAAGTATTTAAGCTGAATGAAATAAAAGGAAGATAAACGAATGAGCAGATAGAATATATTAATGGGAAACAAAAGGAGAGAGAAGGGAGGAAGCCAACACTGTAATAAGTAATGGATGAGATAAATTTCTCCAATTTTTTTCCAGTTTCATTGAGATATAATTGGCATACATCACTATGAGTTTCAGGTATACAGCATGAAGGTTTGGCTTACATATGTTATGAAATGATTGCCACAATAAGTTGGCATCCTAGTACTTATCTTACAACTGGGAGTTTGTACCTTTGATCACCTTCCTCCAAATTCCCCTCTTCCTTCCCATGCCTCTCTGGCAACCACTAATCTGATCTCTTTTTCAGAGGGTTTTTTTTTCCTCTTCTTAGGTTCTATAAATAAGTGAGATCCTAGAGTACTTGTCTTTGTCTGACTTATTTCACTTAGCATAGGCCCCCAAGATCTATCTATCTTGTCTCAAATGGCAGTGTTTTTATGGCTTAATAATAATGTATTATATATATTTATACCACAGTTTCTTTATGCATTCATCTGTGGACGAACATTTAGGTTATTTCCATGTCTTGCCTATTATAAATAATGCTGCTATGAACAGGGATACAGATATCTCTTTAAATTAATATTTTCATTTCCTTTAGCTATATTCCCAGAAGTGGAATTGCTAGATCATATAGTAGTTCTACTTAATGTTTTGAGGATCCTTATGGTGGCTGTACCAATTTACAATCCCACCCACTGTGGACAAAGGTTAATTTTCTCCACACTCTCACCAGCATTGGTATCTCTTGTCTTTTTGATGATAGCCATTCCAGCAGGACTGAGGTGATATCTTGTGGTTTTGATTTGCATTTCTCTAATGACTAGTGATGTTGATCATCGTTTCATGTATTTGTTGGCCATTTGTATATTTTCTTTGGAAAAATGTCCAGTTTCTTTGCCCATATTTAAATTGGATTATTTGGATTTTTGCTATTGAGTTATATGAATTATTTGTATATTTTGGATATTAACCCTTTATTAAATATGTGGTTTGCAATATTTTTCCCATTCTTTAGGTTGTCTCTTCACTTTGTTATTTCTTTTGCTGTGCAGAAGCTTTTTAGTTTAACGTAGTCACACTTACCTGCCTTTAGTTTTGTTGCTTGTGCTTTAAGTATCATATCAAAAAACTCATTATCGAGGCCTATGGCAAGTAGTTTATTTTCCTTTGTTTTTTTTTTAGGGGGGGGTTATGATTTCAGGTCTTACATTTAAGTCTTTAACCTACTTCGAGTTAATTTTTGTGATATAAAGATAGGAGTCCAGTTTCATTCTTTGGGTGGTGTATTTCACCCAAATTAAATCTGTAGCCTCATAATTATGAAAACAAAAAATAGAAATCTATGCAGGCCTAAAATTCCTTACAGGTTATCTAACATCAAACCTCCACCCAGAACAGACGTAGGAGCTGCTTGTGTGGTAGGATAGAGACTGGTTAGGAGAAGAAAAAAGCCTGTTTTTTGCCTTTAGCTACCCGGAGATCTTGAATGAGACACAGTCATTCTAGGCTTCAGTTGAAAGAACTGGATACGTTTTCTACATTTCCTGCCAGTTCAAATACCCAGTTTACTGAATAAGGTAGAGGAAATTTAGGGAAGTCAAAGCATTAATTGGAAATAAACAGCATGTTGGGTATTATAGTTGGATGATGATGCAGGGTGATTATAGACCTTTTATAGAGATGCTCCTATGACTGGGTTATTGCATCCATCTTTGGGTGAAAACTATTTTCTGAACTGAGAGTCTATAGTCTGCTGAGAAGCTTCCAATTCATCTAACCCTTGAGGCACAAAACTCCGGGACTGGATTGGCAGGTGCAGGGATTTTAGTTCATTGCAACCCTTTTTTCATCACTGGTTAAGAACTCACCTAACAAGGTTGCCTGGGCGGCATCTGTTGTATTTGAAGTCATAATTAATCTGCTTCACTTGAGAAATTTCTGATTGCAACATCTTTTGGACTGTTGAGAACAGAGCATGCTTCAGTGACAGCTGCCTCTGGAAGGAGCTGGAATCACCTGAAGCTCCCAAGACTTGAAGACAGATCCCCGGAGGATTCAGGTAATGACTTTTGATCTTTTTGCGGAAACTGAGTCACAGTGTTTCAGTGGCCTTGAGCATGTGTGTTCTTTCTTGCCAGCAGGGTCACCTGCAGGGAAACGTGGGACCAAATGATTGGCAGGAATCACTGCACTAAGTTACATTCCTGCTTATGGGAATTACAAACACTCTTCTAATAGCTTGTGAAGGACACACCATTTTCATTTTCTATTGCTTTATAATGAAAGTTTACTGGGTGAGAAGTGAAAAAGTAGTTCATATTAATATGAATGTTATTTAAGAGTATCATGTTCCACTAACTCTCCGAATTGCAGACCTGCATTGAAGGCTGGGGATGAGCCAACAGATGGACTAAAATGCCCCCTAGAAATGAGAGATGAAATGATTGTCCTTTAATTCTATATGTCAAAGCCAAATGGTTGCTGTTTTTGTTTGTTTGTATAATATACTTATCCTTTATTTTTCATTCGTAAGATATAAGAAAGAAGTTGTTACCAGACTTTAAAAAAAGAAATCAGTTCAAATATACAATCACACTTAGCACACTTAGCACTTGAGACTGAAAATATGAGTGTAGAACTAAATTGGGGGATGAGAATATGGTGGTAAAGGAGTCATTTTACTCTAATACAACTTGCTTTAATGTTCCTCCTTCAGCCCATTCTGGTCTCCTTTACTTCATTAAAAAAATGAAGAAAAAATTATTTCCTCCACAGCACCTCCCTTGTTATCTATTTTATTTTTTAAACTTTGAAGCAACAGTTTTTTCGAGTTCAAGTGCTTCATCCTTAGTATTGGAGAAGAGCCATGAAAATAGTGTGCCCTCTAGGTGTTTGCTGTATTTTTTTTTTCTCCCTTGAGCCTGTTAATCCTCATTCATCCTCAAACTCTTCTCTGCTGACTCTGGGCTTGAAGCACAGGGCTTTTGGCCTCTCAATTCTATTTGTAGATCCTATCAAAGCTGACCAGTCCTCTTCCTTTGACACAATGCGCTGAATCCTCAGATCTGAAATTTGCCTGCCTGGATATCCTATTGTGCAATGATTTTCTTTCATTCACTTGTTAGTAGTCTCACTCTTCCTGATTCATTTCGTCTTTCACTCTGGATGGAGGAATTCAGAGAGCAGTGAAACAACTTAGATCTAGATTCTGATTAACCTCACTAATGCTTGTGTAACCTGGCGAGTGACTGTTCTTTGGTAAGAGTAAGAATATCATAACTTTGCGAAGGAGAAAGCTCAAGTAAAGACACAACAGAATCTAAATTTTGCAAACTTTCCAATCTGTTTTAGATTGAACACGTCAGGTAAAAAGAGAAAGTGTGGCAGATGTCAAAATGTTTTCATTGACAGACAACAGCCTTTTGGCAAACCCAGTCATTTGTATCACTGACAAAAATCCCTTAATAACCCCAAACTCCAGGCAACCGCAGAAGTAAATGGCTAGTACAGGTGGAAATACTAAAACTTGTGGACTTTGTCCCATAAGACCTCCTAGGGTCTTTACTCAAAGGTCACTGAGTTTAAATGTATACCTTATTATTTCTAAATGTCTTAAGTATATTTTTATTATAAGACTGATTCATACTAATAAAATAATTGAGAAAAATATATATAACCAATAAATAAATTAGAAGAGGAAAAATTTTTATTCCCAGTATTCAAATATAACCATTATTATTTTGGAGTAATCTTTCCACTCTTTTTGAAGATCGTAGTATTTTGGTTTGTTTATTTGCTTAAATACTTTAAAAATAAAATTGTAATTATATTCGTGAGCTGCTTAACAATGGTTTTGGCTTCTATAGCCCCAAACAAATTTTGCAAAACTCCATACATACTTGAAATATTTATTCTGACATATAAATTTTTTGTGTCATAATTTTAAATAGTTGCAAGAAATGAACTTTAAGGGACATTGCAAATATTGACAGTTTAAATAAAATTGTTACACATTTAAGAAACTATATCCAATAGAAGAGACTTGATAACTAATATCCATTGGGGGGAAAAATCTTTTATTTAATAAATTGAAATTTATATCTTTTGTTTTTTTTTTCTTGAATCCAAGTTCCCATTCCACTTTTTTTCTAGAGGTGCTACATATTTCCATAAACATATATCCAAAGGAAATATATTACTATACTTAAAGTCTTTTATTGATGAAGTGATTCTTCTTTGCAACTAAAAAGTGAATATGCATTGATATTTTGCTTTCATTTTTTATAACCAAAGGTTGCATTTTCTTTTACATTTTTAATACTTTTTCATTGTAATTTTTATTATTATATTGGTCAAAAGATCATAAATATATTAAAAGTTTAATGAATAATTATTAGGCTTTAAAATCAAATTTTTAGCAATGAATCTCTTAATGACATGAATGGACCTTTTCATTTTAATTCATACCCAGTGATGAGTGATAATTATTATTTATTGGTAGATGAATGAAAATTCAGCATCAGTGTTTTCCCATTTATTCAACAGATGCTGCTGAAAAGTCGTGTTTACATATCGTTCAATTCTTCAAACTCTTTCTGAAGTTCTGTGTCACAAGTCACATAGTGATGCATCCACAAAAAAATTATTTTTAATGATTTATCTCCTAACAACTCAAGTAGATCCTTTTTCAATTTTTTGAAAGCAAAGAATGAGAAGCTAACTGATTTGAATAGGTTAAATGCCCTTGAAAAAGATGAGTACTTTATTAAGAATGGTCTTTTCAATACCAATGTCAATATTGTCAAGTGTTCCTTTGTTAGGGGCCTCAGACTTCTTTACAGCAGCCTGGGACAATAACTATAGATTCAGGAGAGAAGAGAGGCTTTGCTTTCTTTGTAAAGTTAGAAAAGAAGAACCTGCTTAAAGCTGCACATTCTCAGGTCATATCAATTTTATGAAAGATTATATATGGGAGTCAAAGTCCTAGAATTTGATTTTTAAAATTCTATATACCTCCCAGCCAACATGGCTCAGTGGTTGAGCATTGACCTATGAACTAGGAGGTCCAGGTTCAATTCCCAGTCAGGGCACATGCCTGAGTTGTGGGCTGGATCCCAGTGGGTGTGCAGGGGCAGGCAATCAATGAATCTCTCTCATCGTTGATGTTTCTATTTCTCTTTCCCTCTCCCTTCCTGGCTGAAATCAATACAAATAGATTTTTAAAAAACAAAACAAAACAAAAACTTTATATACTTGTATATATCTTTGGAAAGTCATTGCATACCCTAATATCAAGACTGCTGGTGTATACAATTCTTCCTCCCAACAACATTCCCCCCGCCCCCAATTTAATGTAATATTACAAGTATGTCTTCATGTTATTATGATGTTTTCATAAAAATTTTAATGGCTTAGTCCACAATATTCAATTACTTACCTAATGTATATAACTAACATATTATAGCTTAATATGCATCCCTTTATAATTGAAAATTTGTTTTAAATTTTTATTTATTGCAAATACCAACCATAAAAGTAATTTTGTACAAAAAGATTCCCCCTACCTTCAAATTCAGAATGTATCCTCTTGGTATAGATTTATTGAATGGAAATTTATTGAATAGGCCTTAAGATATGAATGCTCTTAAAAACTCCTGATTAATATAGCAATACTGTTTACCAATTAGGTATACTAATTTATGTCAGCACTCATAGTAATCATTGAGAACATCTGCTTTGCTACTTAGTTTTCAGATTCTTTTTATTAAGTTATACTTATATTCAGTAAAATTCACAAATCTTAAGTGTACTGTTTGTTGAGTCTTGACAATCACCATAGTCAAGATAGACAGTACTGCCATGGCCCTTGAAGTATCTTCTTGTACCTTTTCAGTCAACCCCACCACCAAGCAAACACAGTTGTAATTTCTATTACAATAAATTTGTTTTACCTGTTTTTGATCTTCATAGAAATAGAATTCTAGAGTAAGCATTCTTTTGTGTCTGGCTTCTCTTACTGAGCATAATGTTTGGAGATTTAAATATGTTGTTCATGTGTCGGTGAGTTCCATTGAATAACTATAGCATAACTGTGTATTTCTTCCACTACTGATGAGCATTTGAGTTAATTCTGATAATTTGCTATTATGTATAGTTTCAATGAACAACCTTGCAAACAACTGTTTCTATAGACCTATGTTTTCTTTTCTCTATTCAACTACCTACAAATAAAATTGCAGTCTCACAGGGTTTTAAGAAACTGATGAAGTTTCTTACAATCATAATATTATAATTCCCATCAGCGATGCATAACATCCAGCTGCTCCTCATCCTCTTCAACTTTTCGTGATACTGGTCTTTTTAATTACTGGGTATGGAGTAGTAGCTCATGAGGGTTTGAACTTTCATTTTTCTGATGACTAACAATATTGAGCATCTTTTCATGTGTTTAATGACCCTTCATATATCCTCTTTTGTAAAGTGTCTGTCCAAGTATTTTTCCCATTTTTAAATTTAATTGTGTCATTATTTCTTATTTTATTATATTAGTATTTATTATTATTATGTCCTAGATATGAGTACTTTATCAAATAGTTTTTAAAATATTTTCACTTTGTGATTTGCCTTTTTATTTTATTGTCTTTTGGTAACCAGAAATTTTTTATTTTAATAAAGTCTTGTTTATAATATTTTTTTCTTTTATAGTTAATTTTCTATCCCAAATTTTAAACATATTGCCTTCTGTTTTCTTCTAAGAGCTTTATAGTTTAGTTTTTATGTTTAGGATTGCAATACATACTGCAAGTATATATTTGGGTATGATTTGAGATATAGATCAAGGTTTTCTTTTGTTTTTAAAAATTGTTCCACCGGAAATAATTGTTAAAAATATTTTCCTTTTCTCATTGAACTGCATTGAAGCCTATTTGTTATTAAATTACATATAATTTGGTCTATTTCTGTATTCCATTCTTTTCATGGATCTTTTTAAATCTTTTTATCAATACCACATTGTTTTAATTATAGTAGCTTTGAAGTAAATCTTAAAACCATGTAGTGTATTTCTTCCACCTTTATTATTTTTCAAGACAGTTTCATTGAAGGTCTTACTGGTTTTTTGTTCAATTTATTTTTTATTTTTGTTTTTATACTATTTAACTCATTTAAAAATTATGTTTTCTCAGCATTTTTTGTTAGCATAAGGCAAACTATTGCTTTATCATATTAGTATCCTGATACTTTTCTGCATCACTTGTTACAAATATTTCAACTGATTGAGGAATTTCCTACGTATCTCTACTTTGCTGAGAATTTTTTTGTTAGGAAGAGGTATTGAGCTTTGTCAAATATATTCTCCAATTTCAAAACCAATCAGTTTTTATTACTAATTTGATTAATTTCCTTATTATTCTAATAATCATAGCTACTACATTATCCAACCAGGACATGAAGAACAACTTGTCAGAAAAAAGAGCACTCATTAGCTTTGAGTAGCCCCAGAACGATTGCAGGGTTACCGCTCAGAAAAACTGTTGTTGAATGCAATTATGACCCTGATCTCTCTCACTTAAAATTCTATTTTTGCCACTTCTAAATAGATAAGAAATGTATAATACATTTTAATAATATTTTCAACTCAAAAGAGTTAAAACCAGCCATGACAACAACAATAAACGTTTGGAAAAAAGCAAGTAAGTTTCATCTACCTACTTATTCTTACACTTATTTAGCAAAACCATACCCTAAATTCCTATAAATGGTGAACCGAGAATGTGTTTACTATAAATACAGCACCACTTCCTCAGATGTTTTTATTAGAATAACAGTAGCCTCGTTCTGATTATTCCAGACAGTGTGTTTTTATTATTCCTGACTCTACACTGTGAGTCATCTGAGCCAAAGTTTGTTTTCCTCTTCTCATTAACACAGCACCTGTTCAGCCTAATTGCAGCCTCTGTGGGCATCTAGAACTGACTCATCTCTGCTGTTTCCTCTCACTCTTCTGTTTACCGACCTCAGAATAGTCCTGTTTAGAAGCCCTTTAAAACCAAAATGCTGATTGATTCTTTCTGCTACAGAGGGAAGGAGAAAAGAAGGGAGGAAGAAAGAGAAATAGAGAGAAGGAAAAAGAGAAGGGGAAGAAGAGAAAAAGGAAGGAAGAGTTTGAAACGGAGAGAAAATCTTGGAAGTGTTCCATTGCCGTGGTCAGTAATTTCTGTTTCTCCTGAGTAAAGTTTAATGCCCCCCCCCCCCCCCCGCCGCCTCTACTTTTTTTTAACTAGAGGACTAAGAAAGAAAAAAATTTTTGATTGATTTGAGAGTGAGAGAAGAAAAGAAGGAGGGAGAGGGAGAGATCTTTTTATTGATTGATTTGAGAGCTCATTGGGTGATTTTGTATGTCCTGACTGGGAATGGGAACCTGCAGGCCTTGGTGTAATTGGGACAGTGCTCTAACCAACAGACTGGGAAATGGACCCTGCAACCTTGGTGTATTGGGACAGTGCTCTGACCAACAGAGGAACCCAGACAGGGTCTGTATTAAATTACTGAAAATTCCATAAAATATAGTCATGCTGATAGTCATCAAAAGAAATGAAATGATACAAAGCATGCTCTACCATCTATATAAAAGTCACCTGGGGGAGGTGCTGGTTAAAAAATGCACTTCTTGAGTCTTTTTCTTTACCTTATCATCAGAATCTCATAGATAGAGTTGAAGATTCCAGTTTTTTTAGCAATTACCCAGAGATTCTGAAATTACCATGGAAATAACATGGTAAGGATATTGTACCACTGTGATTGTTTCTTCTTTTTATTTTATTTTATTTTTTTTGTTAATCCTCACCCTAGGATATTTTTCCATTGATTTTTAGAGAGAGTGGAAGAGAGAGAGAGAGAGAGAAACATCGATGTGAGAGAGGTACATCAATTGTCATATGTCCAGGGATCAAGCCTGCAATCCAGGTACTTGCCCTTGACCAGAATTGAACCCAGAACCCTTCAGTCTGCAGGCCAACACTCTATCCACTGATCCAAACTGGCTAGGGCTCTTCTTTTTATTTTAAACTAGAGGCCCAGTGCATGACATTTGTGCACAGGGTGGGGGGTGGGGTCCCTCAGCCCGGCTTGCACCCTCTCATAATCCAGGACCCCTCAGAGGATGTCTGACTGGCAGTCAGACATCCCTCTTGCAATCCGGGACTGCTGGCTCCTAACCCCTCTCCCTGCCTGCCTGATCGCCCCTAACTGCTCACCTGTCTGCCTGATCTCCCGTAACCACTCTGCCTCTGCCCCTGCTGTTGCAGCTTCATCCGAAAGGACATCCAGAATGACATCCAGAAGGTCATTTGGTTGTCTGGTCTAATTAGCATATTACGCTTTTATTATTATAGATAACTTTATTGAGGTTATAACTTTGCTATTGTAATATAAATACCCATCGTAAGTGTATAGGTCAAAAAATTTAAAAAATAAATAACACATGTAACAATCATAAGACCGATCTCGATAATAAACATTTTATCACCCTAGAAAGTACCTTCATGTGTCTTTGTACCCACTCCCATCCCTGGTCTAGCTCACCCTTATTCTGATTTTTATTAACCATACTAGTATTGATTTTTTCCTCACGCTTCATTTAAATATAATTGTACTATACATACTCCTTTGTGTCTGATGTCTTGCTCAGAATGTTTTTGAGGTTTATCCATGTGGTGTGTGTATTAGTTGTTTGTTTCTTTTTTATTGCTGAGTAGTATTTCATTGGATGGATACACCACTATCTTTTTATCTAATCCATTATTGACGAACATTTGACCAATAATAATGGGAGCCTATTATAAATAATATTTGTTTACAAATCTTTTTGTATACATGTTTTCATTTCTCTTGGCAAATACCTGAGTGAATATGAATCACGTGTTCATGGTGTATTGTATACTTGACCCTATAAGACCCTATAACAGTGGTTCTCAACCTGTGGGTCACGACCCCTTTGGGGGTCGAACGACCTTTTCACAGGGGTTGCCTAAGACCATCAGGAAACACATATATAATTACATATTGTTTTGTGATTAGTCACTATGCTTTAATTATGTTCAATTTGTAACAATGAAATTGGGGGTCACCACAACATGAGGAACTGTATTAAGGGTCAAAGAATTAGGAAGGTTGAGAACCACTGCTCTATAAGATGCTATCTAATTGTTTTATCTAGTATTTAGCGTTTTACATCTCCACCAACAATGCATGAGAGTTCTAGTTGTTCAACTTTCTTGTCAATAATTTGTCTTTCAAATTGTGGCTGTTATAGTGGACGTGAAGATCTATCTCATTGTAATTTGCATTTCCTTATGACTAAAGATATGGAGCACATTTTCATGTAATTATTAGTCATTTATATATATACTAGAGGCCCGGTGCACAAAAATTTGTGCACTCGGGGGGGGGGGTCCCTCAGCCTGGCCTGTGCCCTCTCGCAGTCTGGGACCCCTCAGGGGATGACCACCTGCTGGCTTAGGCCTGCCCCCCAGGGGATTGGGCCTAAGCTGGCGATCAGACATCCCTCTGGCAGCCCGGCAGCCCTCGGGGGATGTCCACTTGCCAGCGGGAAGCAGACCTAAGCTGCAGTCAGACATCCTTAGCGCTGCTGAGGAGGCAGGAGAGGCTCCCACCACCACCGCTGTACTGGCAGCCATCAGCCTGGCTTGTGGCTGAGCAGAGCTTCCCCATGTGGGAGCGCACTGACCACCAGAGGGCAGCTCCTGCATTGAGCGTCTGCCCCCTGGTGGTCAGTGTGTGTTATAGTGACCAGTCATTCCCAGTCTTTCTGCTGTTAGGGTCAGTTTGCATATTACCCTTATATTATATAGGATAGAGGCCTAGTGCACTGGTGGGGGCCAGCTGGTTTGCCCTGAAGGGTGTCCCGGATCAGGGTGTGGGTCCCACTTGGGTGCCTGGCCAGCCTGGGTGAGGGACTGATGGCTGTTTGCAGCTGGCCACACCCCCTTCAGGGTGGGGGTCCCCACTGGGGTGCCCGGCCAGTCTGGGTGAGGGGCTAAGGGCCGTTTTCAGGCTGGCTGGCAACTGAAGCTCCCAGCCTCTCCTTTTTTTTCTTTTTTTAAAAAATTAAATCTTTATTGTTCATATTATCACAGTTGTTCCTCTTTTTTCCCCCCATAGCTCCCCTCCACCTGGTTCCCACCCCACCCTCTGCCCTTACCCCCCCTCCCCCACTGTCCTCATCCATAGGTGTACGATTTTTTTCCAGTGTCTTCCCGCATCCCCCACACCCCTTCCTCCCCCCAAGAATAGTCAGTCCACTCCCTTTCTATGCCCCTGATTCTATTATAATCACCAGCTTATTCTGTTCATCAGATTATTTATTCACTTGATTTTTAGATTCACTTGTTGATAGATGTGTATTTGTTGTTCATAATTTGTATCTTTACCTTTTTCTTCTTCTTCCTCTTCTTAAAGGATATCTTTTAGCATTTCATTTAATACTAGTTTGGTGGTGATGAACTCCTTTAGCTTTTCCTTATCTGTGAAGCTCTTTATCTGACTTTCAATTCTGAATGATAGCTTTGCTGGATAAAGTAATCTTGGTTGTAGGTTCTTGGCATTCATCACTTTGAATATTTCTTGCCACTCCCTTCTGGCCTGCAAAGTTTCTGTTGAGAAATCAGCTGACAGTCATATGGGTACTCCCTTGTAGGTAACTGACTGTCTTTCTCTTGCTGCTTTTAAGATTCTCTTTGTCTTTTGCTCTTGGCATTTTAATTATGATGTGTCTTGGTGTGGTCCTCTTTGGATTCCTTTTGTTTGGGGTTCTCTGCTCTTCCTGGACTTGTAAGTCTATTTCTTTCACCAGGTAGGGGAAGTTTTCTGTCATTATTTCTTCAAATAGGTTTTCAATATCTTGCTCTCTCTCTTCTTCTGGCACCCCTATAATTCGGATGTTGGTATGCTTGAAGTTGTCCCAGAGGCTCCTTACACTATCTTCATATTTTTGGATTCTTTTTGCTTTTTGCTTTTCCAGTTGGGTGTTTTTTGCTACTTCGTATTTCAGATCTTTGACTTGATTCTTGCGATCCTCTAATCTGCTGTTGGGAGTCTGTATAATATTCTTTATTTCAGTCAGTGTATGCTTAATTTCTAGTTGGTCCTTTTTCACAACCTCGAGGGTCTCACTAGACTTATTGAGGATCTCATTAAATTTATCGGTGGTCTCGCTAGATTTCTTTAGTGTCTCACTAAGTTTATCAGCGGTTTCTAGAAAATTCTTGAAAAACCTTAAAAGTGTGGTTTTGAACTCTATATCCAGTAGTTTGCTTTCCTCCATTTCTGTCATTTGTGACCTGTTTCATTGTCTCCGCATTTTTTATGCTTCCCTGTGTTGATAGAGTGGCTTTCTGTGCTAGGTGTCCTATAGGGCTCAGTGGCTCAGCCTCCCCAATTACCTGAGGTGGACACTCTTGGTGCACCCCCTTGTGGGCTTTGTGCACAGTCTTGTTGTAGTTAAGCCTTGATTGTTGTAGGTACCACTGGGAGGAATTGACCTCCAAGCCAATTGGCTGTGAGAATCAGCTGTGTCTGCAGTGGGAGAACTTCTGTGCTGAAGACACCTTTCTGGGGCAAGACTTGCTTCAGTGGGACTTTGGTGCTCACTGAGTCTGCCCCCTGAGTGTGTCCCTTATGGATCTGAGGAGTTGTAATCTGGATGGTCCCACTCTGACCACTGGGTACACTGGCTCTTGGATCGCTAAGGAGGTGCTAATTTAGCCTCTTCCTGAGGCTACCCAGCAGGAGCTCAGCTGTGAGGAATGCAAGCTGCTGTGGGGCCTTGGGCCAGCTGCAGTTGGTTAGGTAATTTTCAGATTGCAAAGGGCTAGGCCTTTCATATGCAAAAGCCGGCACACAGCTTGGGTGGGGCGGGGTCCCAGGGGATCAAGAGGGTGGAGCAAGCAGCTATGGCTGCTCCTCAGTCCTGCCCTAAGAGGCCCCGCTTCTCAGTGTCCTGGTAATCGCTGCAAGCACCTCTGAGAGAAAGCCGCCCTCGAGGTCCGACCGATGCCAGACAGTCTAGCCTCTCCCCGTATGAGTCTGAGTCCCCAGAGACTCGCCCAGAACTGTAGTTCAGAGCAGTTGGGAGCTTGAGACTCCCTCCTGATTGAAAAAGACAACTGTGTCCTCAGCCACCAGCCCTTTCCACGTGCATCTCTGTACCTCTGCACTTTACTTCCACACCGCACCTCCTCTGAGTCTCGGTATGCTTTTCTCTTTCCTTCTAGTTGTAGAATTTCCACTCAGCCAGCCTTCCTGTGGTTCTGGATGACGTCTGTTTTATCTTTTAATTGTATTTTTGAAGTGGTTGTGCGAGGCAGCAATTTCCGGTGTTTACCTATGTCGCCATATTGGTTTCTCTCTCTTTTTTTTTATTCTGGGATTTATTTACTTTCTATAATTGAAACTTTGTTTCCGTCGCTGGAGCTGAGAGCTGGCTCCTGCTCGCTCCAGCTCTGAGGCCACGGCCTGCTGAAATCAGGTATCTGGGGTTTGTTTAGCTTCTATAATTGAAACTTTGTTGCTTTCGGAGTTCAGAGCCGGGCGGCAGGCAGGGAACCTTGGCTTCCTCCATCACTGGAGCAAGCAAACCTCCTGCTCGCTTCAGCTGTGTGGCTGCCGGCCGCCATCTTTGTTGGCGGTTAATTTGCATATCTCGCTGATTAGCCAATGGGAGGCGTAGCGAAGGTATGGTCAATTACCATGTTTGTCTTTTATTAGATAGGATATATATATATATATATATATATATATTCTTTTGTAAGGTATTTGTACACAGCTTTTTCCAATTTTATTATTGGTCATTTAACTTTTTATTAAACGGTAAGAGATTTTATATATTCTGGATAAAATTTCTTTGTCAGATACTTGTTTTAAAAATATTTTATCTAAGTCTATGGCTTTACTTTTAAGTTTCTTAATGGTGTCTTTTCAACAGTACAAGTTTTTAATTTTGATAAAGTCTAACTTGTTATTTTTTTCCTTTATGTTTTTTTGTGTCCTAAGATATCTTTGCCTACTCCAAAGTCACACAGATTTTCTGTGTTTTCTTTCAAACTTTTATAGCTTTAGTTTTTAGGTTGAGACAAATGATTTACTTTTTACTTTTGTGAATAGTGTAAATTAGGGGTTGAGAATAATTTTCTTTAATATAGTTCTAGCACCATTTTTGAAAATATGATTATTTTCCATTGAATTACCTTGGAAACTTTGCCAAAAATCAATCGACCATTTGCGTATGTATCTATTTGTGGAATAGTTATTGTATTTCATTACACTATGTATTTATCTTCATAACACTGCCAAATAGGGTCAGTCTTGATTACTGTAGCTTTATAGTAAGCCTTTAAAGCAGGTAGTGTAAATCATCAAACTTTGTTTTCTTTTGCAAATTTGTTTTGGCTACTTTAGGTCATTTTAATAAGGTTAGTTCAGAAGAATGCCTTCCTTTTCTATTTCTGAGGTTATTTTTTCTTAACTTTAATCATTATTTTCTTAAATGTTAAGTAGAATATTCATTATGAAACTACTAAGGTCTAGAATTTTGTGTGTGTATAAATTTATGATATGATTGTTCTTTCTCTTCCCACTCATTCTGTCTTCCTACATTTCTTTTCTCATCCTCTGGGCTCATTTGTCAATAAAACATGAAACAAGAAAAAGTATGCCATTATTGATAACAGGAAAGATATGATTGCATGCCTCTTACTAATATTGTATGTGGCTTTCATATATGTGTATAATTTGTTTCCCAATCATCACATCTCCCTCTGGCTGTGAGAATGGCACACATTTTATTTACATTTTAATGTGTATGTTCATACCAGCTCTATGTTGTGTCATTTGTTTGGTTGTCAAGCAACCTATATACACAGGATGGTTTCACATTTCTAAGCTCACTCCCATTTTCAGTTTTGTCACTGATAATAATTTCATACTCAAATCTGTTTAACCAAAATTGCTCATCTGTTTTGATCCTTTTCTGAGTTATACTGTGTCCAAACTTTTTAAAGTCTATTCATACTTCGAGAAAATTTCAGTAAAGAATAATTTTATATGAGAAAACAAGAATCAGTGAAAAGAACATGGAGTAAAATAAATCTTGTTCAAATCCTAAACTGACATTTTCTACTTATGGAATAAATAATTGATGTATTGATTAAGCATATAGATGCTCAATACATGGTGTAAAAATTATAAAGATTATACACAATATTTATATACTTTATACAGCATAAAATGAGAATACTTGGTAGAGGGTTTAAGCAAACAAATTCTTAACTGCTTGACATATGTTTCTTTTTGAGAAAAGATGTTGGTATAAACCAATCTGTCATTTAATTACAATTCAGTTCAAAGAATTGTACCATATCTAGCATCAGCAAGCTAGAGAGATGCATGAGAGACATGAAAGTTATAAATACAGGCAGAGTGTAAAATGTGGTTCTTTCCTTTAAGAAATTTATGGACTCATTTGACAGCCAAGCCATACATCTGAAACAATCACTTCATAATAGAAGGTATGTTATATCAATAGCTACCATTTATTGAGTGCCAGCATTGTTAGATGTCTTATAAACATTATTTATCATCTTATCATCTCAAGCTAACTCTAGCAGGTGTTATTATCCCCATGGTACAGATAAGAAAACTAAGTTTCAGGGAGGTGGAACTGACTAGCAAAGTCACTCAACTAATAATAACAGTGATAGTCAACACGAGTGTCTACAATGTTCATCTTCATTCAGTGGGACACAGTGATGGCTGGTAGAGCCCAGGAGATGGCTGATGGCCAGTTTTGCTCCCTGTAGTCTGAGGTCTCAGCGGTGCATTCTCATGGCTGCCTCATTCTCTAAAGGACAGAGCCTGATGTTCACCTCAAACTTTTTGCAGAGCATTCAGTCTGCCGTTGAGCAGACTGAGATTCATCAGAGAGCGATACATAGAAACTGGCCTTTATGTGTTTCCAGAACCAAAGCTTGCTTAGAAATACTGTGAGCTCATTGCACCTGTATATTCTGGCTAATTCTCATCTCTATTTTCATAACACAGTTAAGAATGGAGGTGTGGATTCATTAAGAATGCTATCCAAGCATCAACATAAGCCTTGGTTAAATGTCTGCCTGATAAGTCTGACAATAACTATAATGGGACAATGAGAAGAGTGAAATGAAGTTCTCTATGATTTCTGATATTCTTTTGTTGAGAAATTTATTTCATCGTTAATGTATCTATAGGTGGAAATATTTTCCTTATGAGGGTTGCCTATATAATCTATATGCATTTGATGTAAAATATTTATACCTATGTGAAACAGAAAATGTACCAATATTCTCTTGAAATTCTCATATATACCCCTGGCTGCAGTTGCTAGAGGGAAATACAGAACATAACCATAAAGAAGGGAGAATTTTGAGCAATGGAGGAGAATTTTACAAGTGGTCACAACCAAATTCAGTTAAGTCTGGAACAGCTCTCACCGCAGACATGGAGGGAACCCATCTGCAGAAAACTTAAAACATGAGGTTCCAATTTTTGAGTACTTGTGTAATTTTAGCCTCCATTTCACTGGTTTTCTTTTTTTGGTATAGTAAATAAAAATATAAATAAATATCAGAGCAGTTTTCCCAAGTGTATTCCTTAGAAAATCGGGGTCGTATATGTTTAATTGGTGTTATTCAAACACTAAAATTCTAAGAAGAAATAAGGCTGTGAAAAAATAGTTTTAAACAAAGTTAAACAGTTTCTTGACTATAGGATTATTCTCAGCCTTAATTATGCTATTGTAAGGTAAGGCTGTCTAAACAAGTCATGTATGTAGCATTGCTATGTATATATATTTTTCTATGACTCTCCAAGCAAGTCATATATATGCACCGCGTACAGTTTAACATTTATCCATCTATCCATTCCAAGTTTCCACATGACCTAGAGCTCTTTTTTACAATAACATCTTATGGGAGTCATGCTATAGGAAAGCAGTGGGAAATGTGGATTTAGAGTGATAAGTCAACAAAATCTATATAGATTGTATATGATTTAGTCTGGGCTAAGGGTCTCTTCTTTAAAAACTGAGAGATACCCTGACCGGTTTGGCTCAGTGGATAGAGCCTGCGGACTGAAGAGTCCCGGGTTCGATTCTAGTCAAGGGCATGTACCTTGGTTATGGGCACATCCCCAGTGGGGGGGGTGCAGGAGGCAGCTGATCGATGTTTCTCTCTCATCGATGTTTCTGTCTATCCCTCTCCCTTCCTCTCTGTAAAAAATCAATAAAATATATTTAATTAAAAAAAACACTGAGAGTCACCTGGAATTTATAACGTCTGCTCTCTTCTTAGTCTAACATCCTCATATGCGTTAGTTTGAATCAGCAGAATGTTAATGTGAACTCATTCATCAGGGAGCCATTATAGAAACAGGTCAAATAAATTAGAGGACTGTTGGAGTATCATTAACAAGAGATACCTGAGTCAGGCCGACTTACCCAGCAATTACGGTTAATAATGTAAGGCTTAGATAAACACACCTCTGGAAAGCACAGACAAACACCGCCCTGGTGAGAAGTGCCTGAAGAAAGGCCGATTCGGTAGGACCCGCCACTCCTACAAAGTGGAACACACAGACTCCTCTTGACTGGGCGTGTCACCCTCGCCAGACCCATTACACAGAAGAATGAAACTAAGGCAGCTGAATGGGCCCTTTGCCATGGCTGCAAAACTCAACCTGCCATGACTAGCGCACACTGTGCTATCTCTTGGGACTAGACAAACACAGCACACAGTACTAACCACCTACTTCTCCTCCGCTGCACCATTATTTGCAAGACATGTTAATAAATTTCTTCCCATGAAGTCTGTGCCAATGCTCACTCCCACCCTCAGGAGAAAAATACTACTTTATCTGCTAACTAGAGTCACTAAATCTGCTTTGATTAATATATTGGCTGTTATATTCTTTTTCTGCAAATTATATATTTCCTTCTTTTGTCCAATTACCTGTTGGATGCTTAATTGATGTTGGTTTCTTCCTTTCTTCCTTCTTCTATCTTTCTTTCTGAAAAAGTTACCATTTTAGATTCTTCATGGGATAAATCTTGAATAATTAAGTATAGTGCTTGTTTAAGCACAACTAGAACTATGTTTCTACTCCCTCCCACAGTAGAGTTGTAGGTTACACCAAATTTCACTTTTAGAATTCTTTCTGATGACAAAAATATTGACATTTCCATTCCCAGGCAGACCCCAAATGTGGCAGCTTCTAGCAACAGCATGCTGGATACTTCTTCTTGCACCTCTATATGGTTGTCACAAGAAAGGAAGCACCACAAATCCTGAAGCTCATATGAATATTGTAAGTCACTCATTAAGGAAAAAAAAATTAAGATAAAGAATTAATTATGAAGTTATCATTTGAGTTATAACTGATGTGCTTCTCTAGTTTTCAACAATTCTAAATTGACTAAATCTGTGCCTCCTCCCCTGTTCCTTGACACGGCTATCTAATCTAAGGGTTGAAAGATCTGATTCAAGTTGGGGAGTAATATTCCTTCTCCTGGTAGTTGAGCCACCATCTGATGGTGCCTTACTGGAGAACATGTTCATCAGCCCATACTGGGGATCTCTGTAGAGTATCCTTGAGTTCTTCCTGAGTTTTTTTCTAGAGCAATTTCTGAGATTTGTGAGCTATATCGGTGTACTCTTTTAGTTTAGTAAGCCAGAATTGGTTTCAGTTGTTTTTAACCAAAAATACCTTAACATGGAGGAATTTATACCAGAGGTGGAATGGAATAAAATAGAGTGATAGAGCGGAATAGTGCTGGGGGAAATAAAAAAGACAAATGACCAATGTCTACTATAGGCTTTATTCTAATGGAATACTCTATATTTCTGTATACAATTATACACTATTGATGTACTTGCCCACACCACTTTATATTAGAACTTTAGGGATGGAACTACCAAAGTTTTAAAATTAGTGTCTCATCTTTTTGCTCTTTACAATGTATCCAGCAGGTACCCCACAGTCTATGAATATATACTGAGTGGCCAGATTATTATGACCACCCCATCAGTATAATGAAGTGAATTAGTTATGCAAATAATCATAATAAAACCTTGAGAGTATTTGCTTAGGAAGTTTTCAATATTCAGTATTTTTGGAAGTGTCAATGAAGTACTGATGGGGTGGTCATAATAATCTGGCCACTCAGTGTATGTCCTTAATCCAAATTTTCCTTTCCTCCCATATTCACACACATCTTCTTGTCCTGGTCTAAATGGTTTTTGGCTCTTAATTATTCTATAATGATAATAAGAATAATGAACACTATATAGCACTTACTTTGTGCCAGGCACTGTTCTAGATTCTTTGTGTATGATCCTCACAACAAATCTGTGAAGAGTTACTATTATTATCTTTATTTTATAGTTGAGGGAAATGAGACCCAGAAAGGTTAAATAACTTCCCCAAAGTTTCATAGCTAGTAAGAGAAAGCATTGGAACTCAGTGCTATATTGTTAGTCTCTAGAGTCTGAGCTTATAACCACTGCTTCATGTGGCCCCATATGTATACACACCTCTTGAGTGCCTGGCATGGGTTAATACCTAATTTTGTGTTAAGGGCTTGCTTTGGCACTAAACTTACTTTGGCTTTAATTGTTGTCTTTATCTTTTCCTAGTTGTACAATCTCCGACAGATTGTTAATCTTCTGGAAAATTAGTTTTCTCAACTCCAAAGAAGGATATATAGTCAAACCTTGTTTCTTGAAAGTCTCTCATCTTGCACAATTCGGTTTTTGACCAAGTTGTTCACAGAAAAAATGTCTCGGTTGTCCAATCAAACTTTGATCATCAACCTGACAACCCTTTCACACTGATACCTCAGTATGACAAAAAGCACCTTTCAGGCAACAAAGGAGAGAATACTTTTGTTGCTGTTGAAATAGATTAGTACAGTTTTAAAATATAAAGAGGCAATCAAGAGTGCTAATGTTGCTAAGGGTGTGAAAGAAGCAATGATCACAGGCAATGTTGTTGATCTGCATAAACGAGAGAGAAGCAGTTAGCTAGTGACAACATTTCGGAGGCAGTGATATATGAACAAGCAAAGATGCTGCAAGCTGGTCTGAAAGACACCACTGGCCTGGACCGAGCACTCAAAGTGATTCCTTTAAGGCTAGTAGGAGCTGGTTCAATAAAGTTAAGAAAAGAAGTGTTTATTTATAGATTATACAGTACATTAGACATGCACTGTATATAAGAAAGGATAAAACAGGGAACCATTTGGGCGTCTGGAACTGATTAATTCAATTTGCATTTCTAATGGGGAAAAATTATTCTGTTTTCGAACAAATTGCTTCTCGAACAGCCTTCCAGAACAAATTAAGTTTGGGAACCAAGGTGCCACTGTAATTCTATCTGAAAGGCTATATATTGAGTTTAATAAAACAGGGGATATAAACCATCTTCTAGGCAATCAACAATAGTTCTCCTCTTCTTTGTACTGTTGTAGTTGGTATATCTTATGTTTACCCCTCTAGAGCCACTCTGTATTTTCTTACATTGTTTTCTGTCTAAGAGGCTGACCTGTAAGAAGAACTAGGTCAATAAGTTCCCTTGAACTTTAGTTTTTAGGTCAGTTCATACAATGGAAACCCTGAACAGGAGATCAGAAGGAAGGAGGAGAGTGCAATCAGATGAGTTATTGTCCTGGAGGTCACCTTGGACAGGCTGTCTCTCTGCTAGAGGTCACAGCTCCTCTCAATGTGGCCCTCTCTACCTGACTTTCTCATTCTGATTCTGGTAACCACTTCCTCTCATCTCCTTTAAGGAAATAGGGAGGTAACAGCTCACTTGGTACTAGCCTCAAGGTACTACACTATCACCTATGGTTTCCCTCATTAGATGTCCACATCATTTCTTGTCAAAACATTTTGAGAATGAGCCAGTGTGTATTAATAATACCAGGCGAGAAGAACCCAGGTTGTATAGTCACCCAACCTTGCCTCACCCATGCTTTGTATGCATCCATCCCCAGTTTAAAACCCTCTTCAAGTTATCCTGATTTTCCTGCTTTATTCTGTCTCAATACATTGGGGAAGAGTAGGCTGTGGCTGAAAGTACTATATTGCAATGCAGGTATAAAAATCAAAAGATCACAACATAAATAGATATATATCTATGTTTTTCCTCTTTTCAGAGCCAAGTCATTTCGTACTGGGGTTATCCTTATGAAAATTATGATGTTGTGACAAAAGATGGCTATGTCCTCGGAATTTACAGGATTCCTCACGGGAGAGGATGTCCAAGAACAGGTAGGGTTTATTTTGTTGTGAATGAAATAATGCCTAAAGCAGAGATTTCTCGATGTGCTGATAGCAGCAAAGCAGTTTTTATTCTAAACAGAGCCGAGTGCCTTCCCATCAAAGGAGGAAAACCATCACCTCCTCCTCTACTACTCTCATTTGTATAAGCCTTTGGAATTTTTCCAGGATTTTCCCATACACTGTCTATTTAGCCTTTTCTTCTTCGCTTTATCCTCCTTCCTAAAAAGCACAAAAAGAAAACTTTTTCTTACTCTAGAGATAACTACTTTCCAGCTTAAATCTAGAAACTGAAAGGTCATTTTGATACTTTCTTCTCCCTTACCTCCTATATACAGCCAATCACCAAGATCTATTCATTTTGCTTTCTAAATTTCTTTCTGATTCGCAAACTTCTCTCAGCTTCAATATCGCTCAAGTGTAGGTTACCACATCATTATTATCTATTGCTTCAACTAGTACAATAGCTTTCTAACTGGTGTTATATCAGTTGTACTAGTCCTCCACCCAATTCAGTGGAAGTTTATGTTCTTAAGTAAATCTGACCCTATTAGTTCTATACTTGAACTTAATGCAAGAGCCATTTCTAGCTCACTGCAATAGATGTTAATATCTGTAGAGAAAAGAGGGATCCATTTGGCAAGAACTGTACTTTCTTTTCTGATTTTTAGCTCCATTTATTCTTTGGAGTGTTGTATAACAAACTCCCTAACATTAGAAAGGTTAATTATTTAAAGAGACAATCTAAATTGGAATGGTGTTGACTTAATAGAACCATCCACTCCTACAAATAACTCTATTTTTAAAAAATATGTTTTTATTGATTTTTAGAAGGAGAGGGATAGAAAGATAGAAACACCAATCAGTGTTCTCCTGCACAACCCCTACTGAGGATTGATCCCACAACCTGGCCATGTGCCCTGACCAGGAATTGAACCTGTGACCTCTTGTTTCCTGGGTTGACATTCAACTGCTGAGCCACACCAGCCTAGCTACTCTAGTTTCTTTATAAATACTCATGAGGACTTTCTTTCCACAAACTTTTATCTTATGATCTCTGCCAGGTAGCTGCCAAAATGCATGAGATGGAAAGCTGCCTCTATAAGAAGAAGCTGCCTGAGGACTCAGATCAGAGAGGGGCTATAGACTATGACTGCTATTTGGTGGTACTTAACTTTAGTAGAATTTGGAATACCTCTTCTTTCTGTTTTCTGAAAAGGTGCATAAATGGGCATAGTTCCTTGCTTCCAAATGGCTGAAGGCTCTCTGAGAGTCCATTCTAGCCTACCCAATCTCAGGAAACTGCTGCAGCACCAAAAGTGACCTTCACAAACCATTTATAAAAGACAAAATAATTCTGGTCACTGGTCACTCTTATCTCCTCTCTAAGTTTCCCAACTTCCTTCTTTTTCTTTTCTGTTTCTTAGTCAAATTGTTTCAATTCTACATTATCAATAGGGCTTTTATACCAAATTAACAATTTTATATTGCATAACATTTCACTTATATTCTTGAATTTTGCTTTCTGAGAGTACAAATTAAATTAAACTGTGTTTGTAAAATCTAGCATAGTGCCTGGCATTCAACAAATGGCATTTTTTATGTTTTTTTGTTATTATTTTGAGAAAAAGTTAGTTTTGTTATCATATACTCTTTGAAGAATAAAATATTATTAATATAAATAATAATAGAGCAAATATTTATTGTGCTGGACAGTCTTATGTATTTTAATTCTAATTTAATTCTTGTGACTACACTATGAGATAACCTTTTATTATTGCCCATTATACAGATAGGTGAACTGAGTTAACCATAAAGGTTAATACATAGTAGAATAGATTTTGAACCAGGACTATCTGACTCCAGCTCCTACAGAATAATACAATACATGATATAAAATCCAAATTTTACAAAGAAAAAAATAAGACATAGAGAAGGTAAATAACTTGCCCAAGTAAGTAGTTCAGAGAGGACTAGAACCTGGGTTTGCCTGGCACCAAATTTCATCTTTTCGTGTATATACTACAGGAAGGCAGGAAAGAAACTTCTCTTATAAACACTGAGAAAGTTGTCATGAAATTCTTGTTGCCTGTTTTGCAGATCCAAGACCTGTTGTGTATTTGCAACATGGCTTAGTTGCATCTGCCAGTAACTGGATTTGCAACTTGCCCAACAACAGCTTGGCTTTCCTTCTAGCAGATACTGGTTATGATGTGTGGATGGGGAACAGCCGGGGAAATACCTGGTCCAGAAAACACTTGAAATTCTCACCCAAATCACCAGAATTCTGGGCCTTCAGGTAAAAAAACAAACAAACACTATATATATATATATATATATATATATATATATATATATATATATATATAAAATAAAGTGTGTATTTTGTCATTTATATACGAATGAACACCCTTTGATTTTTCCCTTTCTGTTCAAATGCATCCAATGGAATTCACAAGAAGAAAACGAATATTTCCACCTCTACCCCAACTTTCTTTACGGGCTCTGAAAAAAAGGCCCTTATGATTGCACTTATGTTTGATTTTATTTTTATTTTTTTTAAATATATTTTATTGATTTTTTACAGAGAGGAAGGGAGAGAGATAGAGAGTTAGAAACATCGATGAGAGAGAAACATCGATCAGCTGCCTCCTGCACACCTCCCACTGGGGATGTGCCCGCAACCCAGGTACATGCCCTTGACTGGAATCGAACCTGGGACCTTTCAGTCCGCAGGCTGATGCTCTATCCACTGAGCCAAACCGGTTTCAGCACTTATGTTTGATTTTAAAACACCACTTGCTGTATGCATGTGTATGCAAAATATATATGCAAAAAAAAATCAAAATGCAAAGGTCAGCTTTAGAAAGGTTAGTTCCAAGACTATCACTTTGTCCTTATGGACCCCAAAAGAAGTTGATATAGTGCTCTTATTAAAGAGGAATTGATTGAGAAATGGGACCAGAAACAAGGTTTTAGTTGAAAAGCTTGTGAACCAGACACTCAAATGTTTACTCTCCAAGAAGTGAAAGAACTCTGCCCTCCATCGGAGGACAGTGCTGAAACCTGCCCCTGGAGTCAGGTCTTGGTCACAGGATCAAACCCCTGTATTTGCATAAGAGAGAAGAACCATACCTTGAAGGTCATTAAAGCAGTTTTTCCTTGGCCTCATTCCTGCCTTATACCTGGAAGCGATTTTGCATTTCCTAATTCCACACCCAGTGCAGTTGTGTCATTAAACTATTGCAGATAACATGATGGTTCCCTACATGAGTGTTTTCCCAACTACAAACACGAAAAAAAAGCACCTGAGGTGATTGATAAATACTCAGATTACCACGAGTCTTCACTGACTCAGTGTTTCTGGGCTGAGGTCTGCAAAACGGTTTGCTTTTATCTAGGTCATTGTTCTTTTTAAGGGAGTTTGGTAAATCTGCTGTAGAATTAGGTGAAATATGACTGGCCTTTTAGGAAAAGCCTTTGTAGATCTTTGCAAATCAGATTTTTCTGATTCCATTTTCTTAACAACGTTATTCTTGCAATCAAGGTGACATCCTCAAAAGTCACAGAGACCCATAATATCATATATGGACTGTAATCTTAATATTTAGGAAAAGCGAATGTCTGCAATGAATGTGTTTGGATATTGCAGGCCTAACAATGAGATATGTTTTTCCAGTTTTGTTGTTTTCTTCTTTCGCAGTGTGGATGAGATGGCTAAATATGATCTTCCAGCCACGATTGATTTTATTGTAGAGAAAACTGGACAGGAGCGACTCTTCTATGTGGGCCACTCGCAAGGCACCACCATCGGTGTGTTGGGGGCAGGTGTGATCTGAGAGTGTCAGAGGATCTTCTTCCATATTTATGAAAGGGATCAGGATTTAGTCCCTCTGTGCAGTCTCTAGCTTGGGGACTTGAGGTGGGAAACCCTTTCCTCTGGCTGATTTTTGAAGATTAAATGAAACAAGGACCACAACAGTGATTTCTTTTCCCGTTGGACTGAATCTATGTAGATTCATAAAGATGGCAGAAAGATTATTTATAATTCTCTCCTAATACATAAATGTATTTATTTTGAGAGAATTGTTTATCTATGTGCACAACAAACAATTTCCAGACACTGGGTTAGAAATAAATATGGTATACATCTTTCCTTTAAAGATCTCATAGTCTAGAGAAGACACCAAAAGGAAAGCAGAAAATTATAAATCCCACTGATTATATGCCACGATTAGTGTGCCTTTCACTTCCCAGGGTGCACTGGGCTAGAGTGGATGTGGATGGGGCCATGCCTCAAAGCCATGAGACACTTCACTCCTTTCACTGCTCCCCATTCAGCTACAGACCTCGACAATGACAACAGCATTTCCCCCAGTCTCTTTTCTATATCTTAATCCTAATTAGGTTTCTAGTATAAAGCAGGTCTTTATATGCCTGAACTATACTATGCACCTTACATACATTCTCTCATTGAAAACTACAGACATATGAAACCATTATCATTTATATTTTACAAATGGTAATATAGAGATCCTTTCTAATGGTGATACTTCCAAATAATATGTATGTATTTTAACCTTCAAAAGAATCATTCTATGAGGATTCTATTTTCCACATTTATAGATTAAGAAAACTGAGACTTATACAGGGTAGATAACTTACCCAAATCTTCACACACCTGGTAAGTGGGAGGCCAAAATTATAGCTCAGTTTTGTCTGATACTAAAGACAGTGGTTGAGCAGGAATGGTCCTAGGAATTTACCTAGACATACCCTACAAGGGATATTTGAACCCTCTCTGCAACTCTTGTCCTCTCTGGAGACAGAAAACACTTTATTCTGTATTAGCCAATTCCATTCTTGAGAAATTTAGAAAAATCCTTCCTACAAATGGTGTTTACTCTGAGTTATTTTATATTTGTTTTGTTGTTGTTTTTAATATAATACTTCTGCTAACATTTAAGATAAATTAAGAATTGTTATAAACTAGTGTCTTCTTCCCTTTCAGCTTTCATAGCATTCTCTACAAACCCAGAGCTGGCTAAAAGGATTAAAATATTTTTTGCATTGGCTCCAGTCATTACAGTGAAATATACCCACAGTCCTCTGAGAAAATTAACAAATCTTTCCAGAAAAGGAGTCAAGGTATGTGACTTCTCCAGTTTAAACCTGTAGAATGAAAACTAGCTCTGTTCCCACTGATTTCAATAGAAGGAAACCAGATGACATTTTACAAACCTCTGAGACTATAATAAGTTTTGGAGGTATCCATGTAAGCTTACTGATGATGTGCAATTTTAGTAATAGAGTTCAGGGGGCTCACTCTGATGCCATTCTACCCTATTATCTTCATCAATGTCTTCTCTCTCATGTATGTCATTCCTCAGTTACAGATAAAGCAAATGCTGAATTGAGTAATTGATTTGTTTAATCTAGTAAGTTAAATTTCTCCCCAGTGGCCCCTGGTTTCTGGGGGGCAGTATGAGTAGTGGTTGAGACCACTGCGTGAAGCCAGATGGGGTCTTTGACCCCAGATTTTTCTACTAGCTGACAGCTAACTAAACTGATCATTTATCAAGGAGAATTGGTCTATGTGTATTGGTGTTTTTTCCTGTTGCATATTAATATGGCTTCTCCCCTAATAGACAAAAGGTAATCACAGTGTATAATTGAAATCAATGATTTCAATTAAAGCAAATAAAGCTGAGACAATTTTTATAGAAGCCAGGGATTTTGATTGGTAAATAATAATAATAATAATAATAATAAGCAAATTAACCTATGATGAGTCAATTCTATACTTATACAACCCAGAAACACAATAGCAGGAAAACCACTAAACAACATGGAAAATGCTCACAATACCCTCTTGTACCATAGAGATTCAGCCTAGACTGGGCCCTATGCTGGGTAAATAGCTTGCTAATTTATTTTAGCATTTCCACACAGTTAAGAGATATTTTGAGATGGTGGGCTCTTTCTATTTTTCTCAGTTTGTACAGCTCTGCTTCAGCCTTTCACATGTTTTGATATGCCAGTGGTGTAGTGCAGTTCAATTCAATTCTGTGAAAATATATCTAGGAGCTACTATTTCAAAAACATAGCATCAGAAAATGGCTATGTCTATAAAGGTACATTCAGCTGATTGATATGACTGAAAATTAGGGTGCATGTGAGAGTCATGGTAGACTTGACTAGGGACAGTAAATGGAAAGCAATTGTGTCATGTTAAGGAGTCTAGATTTTTGTTCTGTTATTAATGGGAAGCCAATGAAGTATGTTAAGCAGAGAAATGGCTTGATCAGATTTGTAGTTTTCGAAAGGCTGCCCTGAAAGAGCTTTAACTCCAATAGAGGAGCTACCACATGTGGCCCACTAATTCCTAATTCTCTCTCTTTTCTCTAAATTATAGCTTGCTTTGACCCTTTGCTTTTTTTAACATATTATCTACAACAATAAGGATTATTAATATTGCCTCCATTTCTTAAAAGAAGAATTTGAGTTTCAGAGCGGCTAAGCATTCTGTCCCAAATCACCTAGTGAATGGATGACAGAACCAGAATTTGAATCCAGATCTGATCAGACCATCCATGGTTAGTGCCCTTTTTATATGTTGTCATTTTCCATGCCAACCTGAAGAAGCCAGTCTTAGATCCTTAGCAGCCAAACAGGCTATCGAATCCAATATGTAGCTATTTATAGAGCTCAGCTATTGAATCCAGTCCATGTTCTGCTTGGCCAGCCACGTGCCCTGGCATGGGGCTATGTGTGCAGAATAAAAGGGGAGAGGGCTTTTCTAATTCTCATACAGGTGCCAAAAGGGTTAACAGAAAAAGCATATCTCTATACTGCTATGAGACAAACATGCCCCCTCCAGAACAAACTTGGAATTACAGTGACAAGTCAGCATGTTTATCACTCTCCAAGTGGATGCTATATGGCTACTTAGTCTGCATTATTACCCTCCCTTTTAGGTTAAAAGAGCAATTATTTATTCTTAGGTAAATGTGTGGTAGTTTAGCTGAGTCATTCATGCATGGACATAGCAATGGAGTCAAGTCAGAGACTACCGTGCTAATTCACTCTGTCTTTTAGGAAAGTCAACTGTCAGAACAAAGAACAAGGACCCCTTATGATAGCTATAACCTCTTTCTTCAATAGTATTTCCCTGGTTGATTACTCTCTGAATTGGCTGTTTTCTTTCACACGAATTTTCTGCCAAGTGTGGATGACCAAGATATTGGTAAATGAAAAACAAAAATGTCCACTGAGTAAAATCAGATCCTGCCTTCTACTTTAACTTATTCCTGTGGAGATCTATTTAGGTTATCACACTTGAGAACATAGATGTCGACATTCTATTAAAAGATAGGTACTATTATTAAACTACCATGTAGACAGTTATATAGGAAGAGTTACAATTTGTTAAGTGGATTAACCCACTGATTGGGATAAAGTGAATAAAAGGCCAGAATAAATTAGATAATTTCTGCAATGGTTAATTATTGTTTGTCAGATTTAAAGATATGATTTGAATGAGTTTAACATATTGTAGCCTCTCCCTTCTTTCCTTATTTCCTCCCTCCTTCCTTCTCTCTGGCACTAAGAGTTATATTAAGTCATGACATATCATATACTTCATTAATATTCCATGGAATATAAGATATTGCATTGAATGAAGATTATCTTTGACTATATAAGGTAACTATTTTTTAAGCTCAGAATTTAACAAATTATAACCAGTAGGAATTTACTAGATCTAGTTTACCAAAGATAGTGTAACACATTGTAAGGTATTTGTGTAATAAAAGTAAATGCTATTTGTTGTTGTCTTTTAGTCAATTAATGAAGGATTCCAGGAAAGAGATATGACAGTTATTTTTTTGTGTTTTTTTTTTACTATAAATGGAGGTTTCCAAAAGTTTTAAGAATAAAAAGAAATCTTTTCAGCTTTATATCTAGTTTATTATCCTAAGATTATAAAACTAGTTATTATTTTTAAAAAATGCAAGATTGTACTTATATGCAAGGAGTTTAGATATTAATTTATGTTTTAATTTCAAGAATTAAATTAAATTTCTTAAAGTTCAAAAGATAAGTTAAACTTACCTGTAACATTGCTTGAAATTCCACTAGTAGAGATTCATTTCTTTGGGTTCAGTTTTTGCCTCTAGAGTTCATTAAAAGATTCTGCAAGGAATGACTCTTTAAGTCTGTGTCAGTCACTAAATATAATAATAACATTGTTTTTGGAATGTTTACTGGGTTCTAGAAAATGCACGAGGTGCCTTTTAAACATGACCTTTTATCTTCACAGCAGTCCTACTTAGTGCATATTAAGTTTCCATTTTATAGTTGAGAAATTTCAGGATAATAGAAAGTAAATACTTTCCTAAGGTATAAGAGACAGAGTCCAAAATCAAACCAAAGTATCCCGTATGCCAAAGCCTTAACAGTGTTCTGTGGGGACTCATTTCTTAGGGGGCATTACAAAAATACTCCAAGTAAAGGATCTTGGGGAAAGAGGTGAGTTGGAAGAACTACAAGGACAAAATTTAACAGAACTCCCACTTTCACTGAGTTATAAGTACTAAGGAGATGTCATCTTCTGTCTAGTACTTACCTGAATTACCACTCATTTTCCACTCTTGACATGCACATCTATGAAATTTGATTGTGTCTTAAATTGAACTTGCAGGTGTTATTTGGTGACAAGATGTTCTCTCCTCATACATTTCTTGAACAATTCATTGCCACCAAAGTGTGCAACCAGAAGCTATTTCATCGTATTTGCAGCAACTTCCTATTTTCTTTTTGTGGATTTGATCCAAAAAACTTAAACATGGTACGTGTAAATAGTTGGATTGGGAAGGCAAATGTTTTGTTAAACAGCAGTTAGGAGATTTGCTGGGGTCCAGCCCCATGGGGTCCAGGGGTTCCCAAAGGTGTGGACGGAGTCGGCGAAGAAGGTTTTACACGGAGACAGCGTTCAGAACTCTCTAGCTTTCCTTAGCCTCCGTGGATCTTCCTGTGCCTGGCTGAGGCCACAGAGAAAAGATCCCAAGGCAAACTGAGCCTTTATTTTATAGTGAGCGGTAAACAAGGTAGTGGTTTCCATAGTTACACAGTAAGTTACACTGTTGTAAGTTTCACTTGTTTTTGTTCTTGTAAGTTTCACTTGTTTACACTGCTCTTGTAAGTTTCACTTGTTTTTGTTCTTGTTGCACTTCCCTCAGCCCATTAGCTTCCCGAGTAAGATCTAGGGAGCTTTATACAAGGTCAAGCCTAATTATGCTAAGAGGACTGTGCTCTCCAAGCTGGGAATTGTTTTTGTCTTTGCCCACAGGTCAGTCCGAGGCTTAACCCTATATCAGTTCCCCACATCTCACCCTTCTTTTATTTTTTAAGCTACCATAATGACAGTAAAATTTAAGCATCAAACTTAAGCATCAAGAACAAAACTCTGGCTATTAAAACAATAACAAAACAATGCCAATGCAAAACCCAAAACATTTTAAAATTTGAACATAACATTTTTGAAACTAGTAAGAATAATAAAACAATGGCAATGCAAAACAGCAATAAGTGAAAAATCAAACCACAGTAACATTTTTCTACCAAATGAAAGTCTCTTTTGCCAATTTACTCAGAGTCCTCTGACTTGGCTGAGAGAATAGCTTCCACTTCTTGCTTCTCTACTATCTGCTGTTAACTTCTTCAGCTGACCCCACGTCGGTGGTTTGGTTGTCCTTGTTGATCTGGCTAGCGGGCGTCGTTGCTGGCAACGGGCTTCCCAAAGTGTCAGTGTGTTGTATGGCTGGATCAAAGGGTCCACCAGGGCCGCGTTTGATGGTGGTGTCAGTGTCCGGGGAGGAGTCAGCTGTGCCCTCTAAGTCAGCTGATAGGATGATACTGGGGAGGAGGAGGATGAGGCGGAGATGGAGGATAGTAGAGAAAAAGAAGAGAAAGCAAAAGAACTACAAGGCATGGAAGTGTTTAGAAAAAAGAGGAAGAAGAAAGGGAAGAAGGCAGGATCCTGCTCCAGCCCTTTCTTTCAGCTGCCCCTTTCCCTGTGGTCCAAGGTAGAAATGGGAAACAAGTCCTGTTGCAGTGAGAGGGAAGCTGCTGTCAGCCAGGTCTCTTATCTAGGTACTGATCTCAGCTGGACCAAGTCTCTTTCTGTTCCCGATCTGAGCTGGGCCAAGTCTCTATTCGTTATCTGGGTCCCTATCTGGGCTGGACATGGGAAGCAAGAAGCAGCCATGGGGGCAGGAGACCTTCTTCAGAAGGGGCGAGTGTTCAAGCCCCTGCACCATTGGGGGGGGTGAGGATCTGTGCCCCACCTCTGTTGAACCCCAAGTTCTCTTCTGCTGGCCCCTCTGTGACTGTGCCTGTCTTAGGTTGTTCCTCCCTGAGGAATCTTACCCGTCTTTGACTAACCAGCCAAGCTCCGGGGCCAAGCAGGGTGATGTGAGGTTCAGTTCTGTCTCCTTGGTAGCCTATGCCCTTGTGGCCTCCATGCCCAGCAACTGCCTTTGGATCCCCTCGCCTGCTGGCGGGGTCCCGGCATTGATCACATATCTTGGGGAACCCAGGTTTCTTCTCCAGAGAGGACCCAGCTCACTTCATTGGGCGAGAGACAGATCCATGGTACCAGCCACCGTGACCTCAGCATTAACAGAGAACTCAGGCAACAGCTGTGGGCAATTGGATTGTGAGAAGAGGGTCCCTCTTGACACAAGGGCAAGAGGGGCCAATATAGGACAAAGGAGAGTCCCGGGACAGGGCTTTCTCAGCCCAGGATATCAGGCTCTTGGCACAAGACAACTCCACGTATGGGGCATATACCAAACACCCCCAGTCACGGCAGAAAGGGGAGGTGCCCTTCCTGGAACAGTAGGGTAGGGAGATTCTAGAAAAGGCTGTGTTCAGGAGAGAAGGAGAAAGGCCAAAGAACCAGCAAACAAGTAATCAGATTAAGAAAAAAGGAAAGGAGATGTGGGACAAAGCTGGGACATCAGGACAGACAAAAAGGAGGCACACGTGATTCTTCCAATGGACAGGTGGTTCCAGCTCAGGGCTGCACATAAGCTGCAGACGGGCACTGGTCAGGTGTGCTAACTTGGCCTCCCAGGCGTGACGGTCCCCAAGAGGGAGGCAGAGGGTGCTCCTTCTGGAAAGATATAAAACACAACCTCTTCCCCACATCATTACTAGATCTGGTAAAACTCTTGTCTCGTTTGTGTATCCTTCTACCAGGCTGAGTCGGCAGAGGCTATTGTACAGGAGGCCCGATGCTTTTTGGCTGCTGTACAACCCTCTGCATCGTATTTTTAAAAATTTAACATATAACATTCTTCTCCCCCTTTTTTGTTTTTATAGACAAGGTTTATATTGATGGAATTCTGACCATATATAAACATACATACTCCTCTGTATTCACAACTTCCCACTTCAACCCCAAAAGCTGCAGCTTCACATTTCTACTGTGAATTGGCTCCACCCCCGAGCCTCAGCACCTCAAAACAAAACCCCAACTTCAAGCCAAACTGTTAGTTTTTCCATTTGTGTCAAGAGCTAACTTTGATATGTTAAAACTAAGTAAAATCCACTTACTCAATCCAAAACAGGCATTAAAAAGAAAAACCTCAAATGCTCTCTTGTATCCATTTTAAGAGTAGGATTGGTGCTTTCCGCGATTACCTGAGTCCTGATCTATCACCCCAGGGAGAGCTTGCCAATCCTGCACTTTCCCGGGGTGGAAAGGCTGCAGTGGGTTTAAGGATAAGGCTCCTTGGGCCTACCTTCTCCCATGCCTTTACATTTACCTTTCCGGCACCTTTCCTTCCTCAGAAAAGCATGGACACGTTAAAAGATCAATACGGAGTCTTTTTTTTCTTCTAGACTCAGTATGGCACATCTTCTCATTCTAAAGATCAATACAGAGTCTTCTTTCTTCTAGACTAAGTATGGCACATCTTCTCAATCTAAGTTCTGTACTATCCACCCACTTACCCTACTTATCCTCTATAGGGGGGTCTGCAGCACCCTATGGTGGAGTCCTATCCGTCCCGAGTGCGGGGGGTCTTACCTAGGGGAATCCTGTTCGGGCGCCATATGCTGGGGTCCAGCCCCATGGGGTCCAGGGGTTCCCAAAGGTGTGGACGGAGTCGGCGAAGAAGGTTTTACACGGAGACAGCGTTCAGAACTCTCTAGCTTTCCTTAGCCTCCGTGGATCTTCCTGTGCCTGGCTGAGGCCACAGAGAAAAGATCCCAAGGCAAACTGAGCCTTTATTTTATAGTGAGCGGTAAACAAGGTAGTGGTTTCCATAGTTACACAGTAAGTTACACTGTTGTAAGTTTCACTTGTTTTTGTTCTTGTAAGTTTCACTTGTTTACACTGCTCTTGTAAGTTTCACTTGTTTTTGTTCTTGTTGCACTTCCCTCAGCCCATTAGCTTCCCGAGTAAGATCTAGGGAGCTTTATACAAGGTCAAGCCTAATTATGCTAAGAGGACTGTGCTCTCCAAGCTGGGAATTGTTTTTGTCTTTGCCCACAGGTCAGTCCGAGGCTTAACCCTATATCAGTTCCCCACAGAGATTTCATTATAAATTGCATGCAAACTACATTCAAGATCTGCTTTTTTTGTCTCTGGAAATGTGATTAGCATTTCGTGGCTTCCCACCAAAGCTGAGTCCACCTGGTTTCGTAGGAGGATTTGAGAAGAAGGTTTTTTGCTGAAAATTCTCATCAACTCTTGCTAGTGGCCAAAGCACCACACTGAAAAGTCCTTCACTTTGACTATGGCTATGGTTTTGAAATTAATCTTGCTGAGCTTGAGCCCTATCTCAGACCTACTGAAGTAGAATTTTAGGGAGTGAGCTCAGGTATCTCTATTTTTTAAATCATTTTTTTTTACTTTCATAAGTGATATGGAAATGGCCATTTTGTGAGCCACTTCTTTAACTCAAAGGGATGGAAGGGTGGCTCTTCAATGATAGCTATACCTTCACTGTTTAAGGGATATTGAGACGAATAAATGTTAGAGTTCTTATCCAGTCCTTTCCAGCTTAACTGAGATCCTTTCCTTTTTTTAGTTACCACTAGCTGACCCAAAGAGTGGGAATGAAAAAGAGAGGAAGTTACTGCTTACTCCCCAGCCAGGGAGGAGATATGTTTGTAACCAGAGACAAAGCTGAAGTTGATTTCCACCTATGTCACAGATTCTGCCCAGAGACTTGTATCTCTCTGTCAGTGGAAAGCACTGATTAACACTTTCCTTGCTTTCAAGCAAGATTTATAAAAGATTGTTTATGCAAAAACGTGCTTTAGCCACTGCCTTTTCACATCTTAGGGAATCCATGCTTGCCCATCACTTAGATGGAAGCATTTCATGTAGGTAAAGGTAAGTAAAAAGACCTTTAAGCAAACTCAATAGAGATCATTTCAAAAGCCCCCTCTCAACATGGTCTGAGAGTTTGCTAAAGAAAGACGTCACAAAATAACACAGTTGAACATAAATTGGGGGGCCCCTGTTGTATATTTATATAGTAAGAATGCCTTTATTCTCACTGTTGGGTACTGGATTATGAAATATTACAATGCCTGCAAGAATGTTTATTTTAGTACAGTATAACCAGGAATACCTAAGCAGAGCGTTTGTAAAACTTTGAAAAAATACGCATGTCCAGAACTCAGTCTTACAGATATTAATATTGATTCTAGGTTTGGGTAACTCATAAGTAGTTGTATTTTTTTAAGCTCCAAGATGTTCCTGATGTCAACTTTGGTGGAAAATAACTCTTTTATATACTAAAAAAAAATGCAATTGAAATTATGAAAAAAAATCAAGGGTTTTTAAAATTCAGAATAAATTTAAAAGTTAATGGAGGTTAAAATGTTGGATGGATTATGCCCCACAAACTTTCAAAGAGCCTTGCAGAATATTACCACATTTTAAAAATCAGATGACAAAGGGAACATTCAGATTTGTTCTCAATGTCTTACAATGAACAACTTTCTTGGAATGTCTTTGGGACATGACATCGGGTGAAGAAGAAGCTCAATGACTTCTTGTCCTCTTAGACCTGTCCCAGGCAAGACTGGAAAGAAAATCTGTATTATCCTCTGTCTTTGACTAGTGGGAGGCTCTCTGTGGGCTCTATGAGACACTGCTCAGGACAGAAGAACAGAGCTAAGGGAAGGGAAAGTTCTTAAAGATGGGCTTCTTTGGATAATGAGTCTTCAGAGGTTATGCTATATGTTTATTCCTAAAAGAAAAACAGAGAAAAGATATTCACATTTACTTGTGATGTGATTATATGATGAGCTTTCAAATGAGACATAATCTCTTTACTTTACAGAGTCGCTTGGATGTTTATATGGCACAGAGTCCGGCAGGAACATCTGTTCAGAACATGCTACACTGGGCCCAGGTACGTGCTTCCTGTTTCTGATGTGAGACACGCACATCTCTGCAAGATCCCCAAGGAGAGCTCCCAGAGAACTCCCTGCAGGGTTTTGCAGGCACCTGCCACTGTCCAGTTGGTGTTCTAGAATCAGCGTAAACTCATGCGGATTTCCTTTACACCCTTCTAGTCTTCACATCTTCCGGGTCTGGAGTTTGGGCTTGGTTCCTAGACATATTCACTGACTTCTGATCCTTAGGTTACTCCAAACTGCTTTTTCTAGGAAAACTTGTATTTTCTCCTCTTGGAAATCACTAGCTTTAATAGAACTTTATGTGTCATGATATAGACTATTTCACCCTCTAGTTGGCATATAGGCCATTTCAGAGTGTGAAAATAATTCAGAGAAATAATTCAGAGAAAATTAAATATTAGGGAGGGATTAAAATAGATTAGTGTTGTCTATTTTTACCCTCAGCTTTGTATGTGCATGTATTACTCTATTACTCAATATTTGACAAGCTCAAAGGTAAGTCAAATTCGATTAGTATAGTTGTCTGACCCAAGTGTGTGTGTGTGTGTGTGTGTGTGTGTGTGTGTGTGTGAGAGAGAGAGAGAGAGAAAGAGAGAGAGAGAACTTCCCAAAGTTTTAATATAGCTGAGATCTCTAGGAATTTAACCTACACCCTGTTCTTTGCTTTAAAATTTAGAATCACTGCTATAGATAGCCTGACACACTAGTTGAGAGTTTTGGAAATTCTTTGAAGAGTTCTACCTTCAGGAGATAAGTCTTCACACTCAAATAGGGAAAATGAAGTTTGAGTCATAGGGCCTCCTACTGGTGAGGAGATGGAGCCTCTCTGATGGGCATGACCTTCCAGGCAATGCAACTTCAATTTCATATTTATTGAGCACTTACTATGTGTTCTTCTGCTATTTATGTACATGGTTTCATTCAGTATCATCAAATTCATTCTCATAACAATCTTTCAATAAAGACATCAATATCTCCATTCTACAAATGGAGGCTCCTCCAGTTGCAGGCTCCTCCCTGGCCTGGGCCCCTGGTCGGGGCTCATACAAGAGGCAACCAATTGATGTGTTTTTCTCACATTGATATTTCTCTCTGTCTTTCCCTCTCTCCTCCACTCTCTAAATAGCCAATCCCTTACACATGCACAGCTGACTCTTCTTAAAAAGTACCCTTCTCTGGCAGGAAGTCCTCTTCAGGATAGAAATAAAGGTGGGGGATAAAATATTTGGTCATAAGTTACATAGACAAAGATGATGGTAGTAATATTAGTGAAAAGAGATTTGTTGAACATTCCTAGGTGCTACATGTTTTTATGCATTGCCTTATTTAATCTTCACAACCTACAAGAAGAGTATTATTGTCATTCCTATTTCACAGGTGAAAAAATAGGTTTAGAGAAGATAAATATCTTGTCCTGGACCACCGGTTCAATATTCTGTTAAGCCTGGATTCAAACCAGGTCAGTTTGATGCCAGAATTCAAGTTCCTAGCTAGTACAGTCTATTGCTTCCCATTGTTGAAAATTTGCAGAATTTCAATAGCAAAAGGTTGCTGCCTCTGTCAATATAAATCTGATGGGAATCATTTAAAACTAAAAATCAAGTTTAAATCAATGAGTGTGAAAAAAAACCTTTAGAGCCCTAGCCAGTTTGGCTCAACGGAAAGAGCATAGGCCTGTGAAACAGAGGATCCTGGGTTTGATTCCGGTTAAGGGCATGTACCTCAGTTGCAGAGTCCTCCCTGGCCCAGGCCCCTGGTCAGGGCTCATGCAGGAGGCAACCAATCGATGTGTTTCTCTCACATCAATATTTCTGTCTTTCCTTCTCTCTTTCACTCTATAAATATCAATAGAAAAATATCCTTGGGTTAGGATAAATAAATAAATAAGTTAAAAAAAAAAACCTTTAGAGTAGTCAGAATAATTTAATGAAGTGCTTGATGTAAAGGTAAAAGTTATCTGTCTCTTCTAATCGGCATGGGTGGCAAATAACAGAAAAAGGAACCCCTAGGTGTATGAATGTTTCTATTCCAACATCTGATCTAAAATTAAAATGCAAACATAAGCATGCATGGCACCTCAGACATGCAGCCTGTGGCCACATTACTGATAAGGCGGCAGGATGTTTGGCCTTGCCGACAAAAGGACACAGCCATGCCATACCTCCCACAGGAAGCACTGAGAAGTTCTGTGAATAAACATTCCTTTCAATAGTAACAAAATTGTTTAAGAATAATGAGTAAGATTGTAATATCCTAGACCACCTGATAAGAATAGTAAGGTTTAAAGTTGTTTAAGAATAATGGCAGTCATTGTTTAATGTAGGAGTTACGTAGGTGGTGCCTTTAAAAATTATGTATAAAAATTCCTTAAGCCAAGATATTTAAGATTCATTCAGTTCAGCATCTTTTTAAAAATGTCTGTGTATAGCATTGTAACACTTAAAGGCATTGCAGTCTGAGGATTTTCATTGAAAAATTATAGGGAGGAATATAAGCTTGATCATCAGTTTCATTAATTAGTATAAATTTGTATCATTGTTATTATTTGGCTTATTAGTCTTTATGAAATTTTCTCATGTGCTAAAAAGTGGAACATAATGTCAATCTTCTCTGTATATTTCTTGTTTACTGTCTCTAAATGTATGCTTTTATATCATTTTAATGTGTTTATTCTTTTTATTTTGTTATAGGCGGTTCATTCTGGTCTGTTCCAAGCTTTTGATTGGGGAAACCCTTATCAGAACATGTTACACTTCCAACAGGTATGATACTAACAATCATCAGTTGCATATCACAAATGAACTAATAGATATAGGGTGGGGCAAAAGTAGGATTACAGTTGTGAGTATGCAAAACAGTTTATTCTTGTATTAACATTATTCATCATGTCATTTTTCATATGAACAACTATAAACCTACTTTTGTCTCTACTCATTAAGCACTTAGTAGGTCCCAAACTATGCCAGCTATTTTATGTAGATCAGATGTTACTTATTGGTTTCTTACCATGTGCTGTATCATTATTTTTTATCTTCATAATGACCTTGTAAGGCTCAGAGGGATTAGGTAAATTGTTGAAATTATTTTAGCTAGTAAAGAACCAAAATATGATCCAGGGGTTTCTGGGATCTAAAGTCCATTCTTCTTCACTATCTTCTCAAAAAAAGAGAGAGAAAGAAGGAAGAGGAAGGAAGGAAGGAAG